TTTTTTCACACAAGCCGTTAAGCGATTTTTCCGTGTTCATGAACATCAGAAGTTGTTTTAATTCGAAAAGATTTGGCTCGATGCAGCGAGGTAAACGTTACAGCGAGGTAAGCGAGGTAAAATAGAGGCATTGCTAATTTTGGCACTCCCGTCATAAACAGTCTAATCGTGCAACAATTACTGCTATTTATTAGCAGAAAACCAGAACCATGGCGTATTGTCTTGTTTCTATAGCTTCTCTTCCGTGTAATGCACAGCAATTCCAGTAGTATATATTTGACAATTTCGATTCCCCACTATATCTTCACATGATACTATACTTTATTGGGGTAATTTACGCATTAATTAACATTCCCCTTTTTGAATACATCGTGAACAGTTTCTACCATTATTCTGGTCGACGTTTCATATAAGAGTCCCCACATGCCCTGGCCTACCCACACCCCCAGTACGACCCTACCCCAACCTCGCGTTTTTGTGACGTCATTTGAAAACTCTTGTATGAAAATAAACTTCACCTTTTATTAGCTCTCCTTAAACAATTCCAGGTGAAGTTGATATAAAGGTCCTCAAATGACATCACAATAGAGGTGGGGTGGGTGTAGGGTAGGGCTCAGGATAGAGTTGGGGTCATTTGGAGACTATTCCATATATGACTCTTCTATTAAATTTCAGCCAAGCCCTGGTTGAAACACTAATCAAAACCCTTATTCAAACTATAATCCAAATCCAATTCAATTGGCATGCACGATTGCAACTGGATCTTTTTATAATAATCAGTATCTATAGTAGTCTTCTAGATCAAGTCTTTTTTCCAGTTTAAATTCATTTCCAATCGTGCAGAATTTGCCAGAATAGACATACAGAGTTTAGATTAATAAATATCAGCATTGAAAATAATTTCCGGGTTTTCCCCGATTAAATTTTAATACGAAAACGTACCACGTTTACCTCGCTGCATCCATCGAAATCTTTTCGAATTAAATCCACTTGTGATGTTCATGAACACAGCAAAATCGCTTAACTACGTACGATGATATTAACGGCTTGTGTAAAAAAACAGAACAACAGCGCATTTTACAAGTGACTGGAAGCTCTGACGTCTCAACTCCGCTATAATTGAAGCTAAACAAAATAGACAAATTGTATCAAATTTCAGAGGCTGTCGAGTCTTCAAATCGCGGTTGGTAACAAGTTTTATTATGGATATAGGTACTTCAAACTTCCCTTTTTTTAACCATGGTAGTCACTGAATCCAGTTAGGTGCCACTTTTGAGAAATTTAAAGTCGAATTTGATATGTGTACAAAGCCGTATTTAGACCCGGTGCTTGTTATCGCTAAAGTTTGCCATAATCGTTCTGTAAAGGCATCATATAACAAGACAAGTTTTAAAGTAGAATAATTTTCACGTTGGTGGGTGAAAAAATCATAAAATTTGGTTGAATACTTTTAAAATTATATGTATTTGAATTCGGATAATTTTTATG